CTTTGAAATGAACTTGGTTCATACCGAAGGCACTTCAAAAACATTTGTAATTGTTTCGGAAGCAGAAAGGTTACAAATAAAATTCTGCAAGGATGTTCTACAATCATGTGTCTTCTAAATTTAGCTTAAAGACTAAATTTCCTGCGCACAGACTAGACAAACACTCAATTTTACCGCAATCTCAAAAACATTTTGCGGATTCATTATCCTTCTCTTCCGACATCCTATTCATTGTCCAGTTCACATTTTCCCATGATGACCGCTCACCGAATAAACTTACGGTGATCATCCGTGCTGAAGACTGGGATTTCATACAGCCCCGTGACACAACATTACCGCCCCGGCCGAAGCCATTTTTCCTCAGCATGCAAGAAAAGGCCAAAACACATCCAACATAAGTCCGTATGTTAAACTGCAAAGCACCAACCATTCATGTTGCTAACGATCTGACTGCTACAAGTTTAACGCAAGAAGCACAGTCGCACTGGCAACCCTGGTGCAACGATACCTGGGTTGAGTTTTGGTAGTTAAGTATTTTTGGGATTTGGCAACTAACGGCACTCGACTGGGTCGCACGACATGCACTCGTTTGTAAATTTGGGCGCAAGCTGGGAAGCTCGTACTCGAGCAGGTTTTCTTGCCGCGTAAGATGTCAGGTGTTGCAAGCTTTAGCTCATTATCAAGCTTTTTGCTGGGCATTCGAAGTCCATAATCCCCGCCTGTCTTCAATATTCCCTCTCTTTTAACAAGGTTTCAGCTCATTTCCAGTCAGTAACTCTGCCAGCTCCTCTCCGTCACGACTTTTTCTCTCTCTCCTAAAATCTAAATCCCCATTCCGGCCCCCACTTTACACTCACCCCCCTCTCCGCACTCCTACCTTGCCATTCGAGGCGGGAAAAGAGGCTAGGTGAGCAGCAGGAGAGAACCATACACAGCGCAACCTGCTTCACAACCCGGTCGAGCTGAGTTTAAGTAGTTGCCTTTTTTAGGCAATTGCGGCAAATACTAGATTTGGGTTGACCGGCCTCGTGCACGTATTATGAGAACTATTCTTGGTGGTGGCGGTAACGCTACCCCACGGTCGATAACGTGGGTGTTCGACGTGGCAGGTGAGCGGTGGG